GAGACGAGGCCATTGGGGTGGGTGAGTGAGTGATATACAACACAATAGGTAGGCCACATGGCACAATTATGTCCGAGTCATAATGACCATTCCCACGTCCATTAATTAAGCACATTTATGACTCCTAATTGAAATTCCCTCAAGTGAAGGGAACAATAACTATTGCACTTGTACCTGATCCCTTGTTTAGCATCTACCTTCTCCTGTTTACAATTCCCCTCCTCGTCCATCCCACAACAGCGACAGCTTGTAGCTCAACTAGTATCAGTGTCTCCTTCCTCTCAAAAGCTCTCAAGTAAGCTCTCAAGCACATTGTGTTCAAAGACAGAGGTATCATGTTCGTGCTCAAACCGGATTAGTAAAACCAGGTTCAAGTTGGACAGGATGTTACAAACATGTGATACAACTTGAATTGGATGTTACAACATCCTGTTTGAACAGAAAACTTTGGCTTTATACAAAATCAATGGCTTTTGGTTTTAGCAATGAATAATTCATCGAGGATCAAAGATACTGCAAATTGAACATGTTGTAAAAGGAACAAAGAGAAAGGAATACAGACCTCGAAGAGCATTAGCCAAGTTGCCATTGGAGATGAAATCACTGATGAGAAGCTTTTCATCTGGAGCCCAATAATAAGCTCTCAATTTGACAACATTTGGATGCTTAACCTTCCCAATAGCCTGCGCCTCCGTTACAAACTCTTTATACCTCTGCTCTCCTCCCTCGCCAAGCCTCCTCACCGCCACCGGAATGCCATTTCCGAGCACAACTTTATACACTATCCCCAACCCACTCTTCCCCAACACATAAGCAGATGCTCTTAGCAATTCATCAAGCTCAAAAGAAAAACCTTTATCGATCGCCACAAGCTCTCCTTCGGGCTTCCCTCTTTCTACTTTTTCCTGATCTTCCAATTCAGAGTCATCGTTTCGAAACCCACTTACACAATAACATAATGAACAAAAGTGTGATTTCTCATTGCCCCCAAATTTGCTTTTTCCAGTGCAGCTACAACCATTAGAATCGTCCTTCTTTTTCCAGTAAATGTAAACTACAACTAGACCAAGAAACGCAACAGCAGCAGCGTCAGCTACCGAGATTAATATTATCAAACCGGGACTTAATCCTTTTTTAGGACTATTATCAGAAACCGGTGATGAATTCTGAGTTCCAGGCGAGCTCTGTGCAGAGTCCTTGCAAGATTTCTGAAGTGGAAACCCGCAAAGCAAAGGGTTGTTAAGGAAAGCAGTCGGTCCTTGGTTTGCAAAAGACCCTGTTTGAGGTATCTCGCCGCTAAAATTGTTGTTTCGCAGATCAAAACTCACAGTGACAGGCAAATTTCCCAGTGATTTCGGAATCCTACCCGATAAATGATTGAAAGAAAGGTTTAAAGTATTGGACAAAGACTTAAGCTCACCAATATCATTAGGAATGGATCCATTGAAATCATTAGCAGAAAGATCAAGCTGCACTAAATTATCCAATTCAGGCCAAATCCCAGCTGGAATTGGACCAGAGAATTTATTCTTGGCGAGGATCAATCTCTGCAACTGCTTGCAGCTATTTAAATTTTGAGGCAAAGAACCAGACAGTGAGTTGTTGGAAAGATCAAGATTTTGGAGGCGAGGGAGGCTACAGATTGAAGAAGGGAGAGAACCAGAGAGATTGTTACCGTAGAGAAATAGACTGTGAAGTGAAGTGGCGTTAAACAGCTGATCAGGTATTGAACCATAAAAGTTGTTATTGTGGAGATTAAGTCTCCGAAGATAAATTAAGGTGCCGAGCTCTGATGGAATATACCCGCGAAGATGCTTGCCGGAGATTGCAACGCCAACAACACGAGGGTCTGGCAATCCGGTTATGTTCATGCAGGAAATGCCGGTCCAGCGACATGGAAGGGGGTCATCTTCGTTCCAGTCAGAGAAAGCAGAGCCAGCAGACGTTTGATCCACGGCTGATTTTAAGGAGAGGAGGGAGAGGCCATCAGTAGTGAGGGAGTGGCCGAGTTCGGTGTTGATTAGGCAGTGAAAGAAGAGAAAGAGCAGCGTCAATGAGAGGTTTCTCTTCATTATGGTGTGGTTCTCTTGGAGAGAAGAGAAATGAGAGAGTTCGATGTATTTACAGGGGAGAATATAAGCAGGAAGGAAAGGAAAGGAAAGTGATGAAGCAAGGCGTGAGGGTGGTTGGGAATGAGAGATTTATGAGGGGAAAAGACTTAAGAAAGACGAGATTTTGATTAAAATGGGGTCCACCTCCCGCCAAGACAGAGAGAGAAGAGAAAAAGGTACTTTCTATTTGTAATGGAGAAAAGGAGGAGAGTAGAAGAAAAGCAAGGACAATTGCTTTCTGCTTTGAGAATTTGGTCTTATGCATGATGCTGATGCTTCTATATTAACATGTTTTTCTTTTTGTCTATAGCTTGGAAGGGAACGATGGAAATTTCCTTGGATTATAATTTTGCGTCTTCCTGCCAATTTTATGGCTTGCTTTGATTTGTAGTTGAGCTAATCATGGGGATGCACCGATCATGGCTTGTGCTCGAGTGATTTGTTGGCCGAAACAATTCGTGAGTTGTGGGTGATTATTAAGAGGCTACAGACATGATTAATTCTTGATGACCAGCTAGTGTTTTTGATTGCTTGATCCTTAATTATTTTAAAATCTTAATGGGGAGAGAAAAAATAAAAAAAGGTTTATCTTTATGAGAATTGAGAGAGGATTTAAATACATTCGAGTCTAAGTTTCTCATATTCTACATGTGGATGTTCTTTAGCATAAGTTATAAAGACTTGAACCGAATGGCTGTTTAGCAGTTATGCTATAAAATCACTAGCTACAAATGTTGAACTATTAGACTTGTCAAACCATTCTTCTAATATGTTATAAACATAATTTTAAATAACTGTGGAGATATTATATACTGATATTTATATAACAGTTTCGAAGTATTTCGTTATTATTATTTTAGTATTATAGTAAATTATGATTTGCGATAACGACTGTAATTATTTTTTCAACTGTACGTCATTTAAAACTGTAATTCTAAATATCAGTTGAGACCCTTGTTTAGGCTAATTTCATACTGCTCCCTCTTTGCTTTTGCATAGCATAGGGGAAAAAAAAATGGAAAATCAAAGACAGATTGATTATTTGCCGAACGTCTGCTTCATAGCCTCCAGTATTATAGTAACGGGGTGAAACAAGTACTGTTTGTCTTCAAGTAGGGTTTTGGGATTTGCAAGAATTTTGGAGTCTAATTTCGCAGAGGTAAATGGCATTGTGTGATGTCAAGTAAGTTTGTGCATATTTCTTGAAAAAGACCCACCCTACTCCCATCCTTGTCAAGAATAGACGAGATAAGAATTAACAAGTCGCGCCTGTAAGGTACAGAGCTTTTCGTCAAGTTACAGATACTTCATCCAGAGGCAACTAAGATACTGGAAATTTGGAAGACAGAGATGCGCAAACCTTTTATTGCATTGTCAATTTAGTTCGAATACAGAGGAAAACACACCACCATAGTGATTAACTATTTCTATTGTTCATGTTGCCTTTTTTTTTTTTTTTTTTTACAATATTGATTTAAAAAAATTATTAATTATTATATCATATCAATATTTTTTTATTCTATTTTTCTATTTTTTTAAATTATGTTTAAACAATTATTGACTAGAAAAATATTTTGAATAAATATAAATAGAAAGATAAAGAAATGAAAAAAAAATTAAATTAGTATACGTTTAATCCTTGAGAAGAAATGCGTATGAAAGAGCACAATTAGTATAACTAGATAATGATTCGATTTGAGTGATAGATGGTTGGAGTAGCCTCTTATAAAATACATGCATTTAGTAAGGTTTTATTGTGCCACTAATCAAAGTATTATCCTTAATCCGTCCAATATTAAACAAACCTTTCCATCACTAAATTCTTCCTCAGGTCAATCTCTTTCATGTAACCAACACCACTTTCCCACACTTACAAATACTAACATAATAATAATAATAATAATAATAATAACAACAATGACTTCGCTGACACTTCTGTTTCACATTTTGATGTACTCTTACTTGTCCGATTTATTAACTTCTAGTAGAGGCATTATTACTATTATTTTACAATTCTTTTGTGAGAAAGAACAGAATGATTATATATATATATATCTCACACCCAATCATGAAAACATGCTTAGAAGCTAACAAAGAGAAAGAAGACAGATCCTCTTTCCAGCTCCTATTATTGTTTGCTTATTAATGTACAGATACAACATAATTTACACATATGCGTTGTTGCATGTCAAGTGAAGGGAAGGTATTGTCGTCATAACTCGTCCTGGGCTATTGATTTTACTCCAACTCCTCCCTTCATGCATACGACATGTACAGGAGATATGAATAATTCATGGAAGGAAATCACTTGCCTTTTTGAATGAAGCAGCTGAAATACTTTGTTTTTTTCAATAACACCAAAACGTAACGGTGTGTGAGTGCAATTTCCTACCTAAATTAACATAAGAGAGTTAGGATTACAGAGTCCTTTGCTTCGTATTGAAGGAATGCAATTGATGTGAGATGACGTGAAATCTTGCCTTTATTAGCACTGGGTTCGGTTATTCAAGGTGATTATGAGGAAAATTGGTACCATTTATCCCAAAATAGGTTCCGTTCAACACTCATCACAAATACGACAATCACATACAACAGCCCTCGCAACACTCCAATGCATACGGTGTAACCTATTGTTTCCACGTTGAAGAGTCGTCCCACATTCTAAGCACAAATTACTCTAGTTGTTGCTATATATAAAAGGCATATCTAGAATCACATTCCTCAAGTATCAAATCCAATATATTTCATTTTCAAGATTTTAGGCACACGAGAATTTAAAAATACTCCTCCATAAGGGCAGTTTGATTTGCAATTTGAATGCCATCAACAGAAGAAACTGCTAAAAGAAACAGGGCTACATTTTGGAAAGCAGAGCAGCAAGGCCCTCCTTTATGCTTCAACCATTTGGTCCGGTTCTGAAGTTTCTGCTGACACAACTGGATAGTATTTGTAGTGGAGCTCTGAGACATCATCACCAGATAGTTTCGTCCATCCATTTGGTCCCACATAATAAACTGTTTACAAAGCACAAATTGAAACCACAAATTAGCTCATGAAACCATTCATGTACACAGATGTGCACAAGCAAACAAGCGTGAGGAGAGAGTACCGCTTGCGACTCCACCACTGGCTCCATCACGGAATGTTGCATGATAAATAGCTCTTCTACCTAACTCTGCAGCTTCTTCAATTGACATATCAAATCGGTACCTGGCATAAGTGTAAGAATATGGTGGCATAAACTGTGAACTATATTTTAGCAGCAGTGCAAGGGAAACAGTATAAAACTTCAGCAACTACTGCTCCACCGAAAAGCAATGAAATAAAGTGAGAGCCTGTTATTTTGTTGGACAAGGCACTATGCCATTACCCAAATCCATGTCAGCTTGTGTAGCATCTAGGATAAGTTTTCGAAAAACACAAGCACAGAAACCTTTGTTGGACAGCACAATTTTTCACACTTCTTTTCAGTTTAATAAGCCTTCAGAAGCACTTCTCTGGCTGATATCTACATGCATCCGAGGGCTTTTCTACAGTATTTGAGTCTCATTTTTCTTCTGTACTTCCACTTATCTTCTCTGTGTTTGATTTCTTTAAAAAAAAAAAAAAATTCTACACACATTTTCATCTACCTAGCCACTGGATGAAATGTGTTGGGCTAAAGAAAATCCCCTTCCCAATAATTTTTTTATCAATAAAGAACTGGCCACAAAAAGACAAATGTGTTTCTTATGCTCTCACAGCCCAATCCTAGAAATCTTTTCTTCTCAATTCTTGAGCATCTCTTATAAGTTTTTTCTTCTTTTTAGCAAATAAATGAATTTTACAGAGAAATTCAACGTCCTCTATACATTTATTTCATCATTTTCATGTGCTCCTTTTCATTCTCCATTGCCATATTTTCCAAGTGTTTCCATGACAGATTTAAAACAACACATAGACTCACTCTATAGGCTAGTTACTTATCTAATTCACAAATGCTTAAAAGTTTATTTTCCACGAATAACTTCTGCCAGCCAATAGTCAATAAGAAAAAAAAAGTACTTAAAAAATAGTTCACTCACCCACTATCCAGAACACCATATGCATATGGAGAACCAGATCCAACAGAGAATCTTGTTCCTTTCAGCCTTCCACCTTCACTGTCCACATAATATAGTCCAGGACCCTGCAACAAGAAGAAGATAACACATGTTAATCAAATTACTAAACAAAAACATGGCAGGGCAACATTCACATGTCATTACCGTTTCATCCCAACCAGCAATCATGGTCCCAACAGACAAGCCCATTCCACGGTAAGAGAACAGAATGTTTGCCAGAAGCTTTGATGCCCCTGTAACTGAAATTCTACGCTTGTTTGCCAATTCATGTAGCCGGCACTGAATCATACCAAAAACTTTTCCATTAGCACTGAGCATAAAGCACACAATTACAGATACATCGAAGAATTTACATGGTTGATCACAGATTTAATGATAGGCAGAGAATACACCCAGGCACAAAGAGGCACTCAAACTAATTTTTCAAGACTTGGTGAGTATGCAAATATACTTCGTTAGACTTAGCTATCCAATAAGTATTCTGGAAGGATATGCCTGTACCTAGCCTGAAAAATCATTTGCCTAAGGCCTTTCAATATATAATTTAATTGAACAAGGAATTTTCACTCAGTGGAAAACACATATCTTTACCATACAACTTCACTTCATCTACTATAACACTATTAGAGAAATAAAACAGGCCTTAGTTTAAAATTTTCTAGCATATTTTAGTTACATTTGCATTGGACATTGAAAGCATTGGATTGGGCATGGATAGAAATTTTCTGCAATAGAAATGGAAATATTATCAGATCAACAAATAAAAGTTTCCACTTGCTTCCCTCTTTCTCCTGACATAGATTAGCTAGGTGTATAGAGCATCTAGCTGGGATGTTATTATTTCACCCCTTATTTCAGAAGATATTCTGAATTAGTTTTACAGTCTTGACAGCCCTTGAGTGACCGAGGAACAAAAACTTAATAGCGAAAATATAAGACCATTGAATGTGCAAACAAAACAAAATATGTCAGTGCAAATGTCACATAAATCAATATGTCAGTGCAAATGTCACATAAATCAAGCAACCCTTAAGCTGTCAAGGCTAGACCCAGTGAAGCACAAACCACTACGCAACTTCACCAAGCAATCTTGCTAGCGTTATTTAATGCATTTACTAGGGAGAAACGGAGAGATGGTTCGGCCACTAGGGCCTGGTTATTCTCTCGTACCTAAGATTTAAAATGCCACGTCAACATAACTCCAAATTCTTTATAAACAGGAACACTTTGCCTATGAATTCTTCATGCCAAAAGAATTTGTATTGTCCACAAGGATATCTAATATTAGTAAACAATTCTAGAATTGCAGGAATTCTTACTAATAGAGAACAGGTTCATGGACATAGGAAAACAGTTAAGCGACAAACATAAGTATATTACCTTAATGCCCAAATTTCTGTGCCAAAACTGACAATCAGCAGCTCCTCCAGCCATTGTACCAAGCATGTAGGGGTTGATTTCAATGATTTTTTTAACCGACTGTGATGCTGAAAAAACCAAGGAGGAAATATTAAAAAAAGTTGCACTCATGGAGAAGAGCAGTATTAATGCTGGAAACATCTATTGATGACGTGCGAGTGATGAGGATGGCTGCACAACATAACTTGACATAAACCAAGACAATGACCAACACCAATCACAACACATCATCCTACAACAACATTGGCAACATCCCAGATTCCGATTAATCAAGCCAGTTGATCTGATAGAGCACTTTATACCAGCAGCATTTAATATTAAGACATGATTTCGCATGTACACAAGGACACCCCCACCACACACACACAAAACAACAACACACAAACATAAACTGAATAACATACAAACATAGCCTCCCATGCACATACATAAAACAAAACGATAAACGGAATTTTATCCAAACAGAAAATTGAATAAACATACAAATATAGCCTCCCATGCTAGCACGAGAATCGGCTGCAACAATGACACCCTCCTTAAAGATAAAGGCAAGAGTAGTTGTCCCCTTTGCTGGCTTCACCATCTGTACAGCTTCCTTCTGAAAGCCATCAAACTGAAACCAAAAACCAAAATCAAACTCAACCCATTAATAATTCTGACTTACTCCCACACAAATCGCAAACATAGAACAATATAACAAACAACACTCAAAATTACATCTTTAGTCGCGGGTAGCTCAAAAGCTGTAGCAGCAGCAGCAAACCCATCAACAAGATCCCCGCCGGCCGTTCCAAAAACCGAAGCAGTGGATTCGAGACCGCTAGTATCAAACTTCATTATCTAAAAAACCAAGAAACCCAATAATTTAATAAATTATTCAGCAGCAGTAAAAAAGTTAAGACCTAGGCCTAATTTCCGTCTCTAAAAAATTAATTCGTCAAAAGTAACAGCACAAATTTTGAAACATGAGATAGCAAACCTTAATCTCTTATATTTGATAGATTTTATCAAATCAAAACCATATAAAGCTTAAAATCATCGAACTGGATGTTGCTAAAAGCGCTAAACAATGTGAGTGGGATTTTGCAGAACCCTAAAAACTGATCCTGTAACATACCTTGTTAAGAAAGAGAATGCAAGAGAGAAGAAATCTGTGCAGAGATCGAGTAAGGTTACTAGTTACTAGACTTTAAGCTCGATACTTTAGATTGCTGGATTTTATATAGCTAGGACCTTTTCTTGTTGAACGGGCAAGGGCAGGGACTCTGAGCCTGGCTTTTATTTGGGCCTTTCGAAATTGAGTAACGTGGATTTTTGGACCGAGTCCAAACTCACTTGGATTTTTATTTGAGTTTTAGCCCAATTCTTAATTAATAAGTCAAGGCATTCTAGTTTAAAACCCTTTCTATTTTATTGGTTTGTCCTTCTTGGGCCTCGGGGCAATTCCATAGTTTTATAAAATCACCAAAATTATTACGAAGGAGAATACTCAATTTTCAGAGTTATTTCCCAACTAGTTTTTTATTGGTAGTGAAATATTTTTGGATTAATTTTTTCATCAATTAATTAAATCTATTACTTTTTAAATTAGATCACTGTTGAATAAAGTTTAATTTTGAATCACTTCTATAAGGTGAACTTTTTGAATTCATCAAAAACCCATATTATGTCCCATATCAAATCCTCCTCCCCTTTTTTTTTTTTTTCCCATTCTTCGATTAAAATATAACCTATTTTTTAAGTTCTATTTAAAAAAAAAAAATTATTGAGTTTAGTTTACTAGCTAGTTTTTAAAAGATAAGCTATAATGATATAGACAAATTATTGGACAAATTCTAAAATATTTTGGTGATCATTGGTTGATAAACTAAGCAAAAGAGACTTTATACATATGCAAATAATAAAAAAGGAAAATCAATTTTCTCTATAAGGTTGAAGCAAAGTAACTTTCGTTTTCTTTCAGAGTTATTATTACCTCCACTGGGTTTCGAATTGATCGGCCCTGATTGCATTAATTATTTCCTTCCCTTTAAGGCTCTAAAGAGAGAGTAGATGCATTTTAAGGGTAGAGCAGCCAGTTTAGATTGGCAATCGGATCATTGACTGCACTCTTTATATGGTTCAGCTGAGCCAAGTAGTCGTCATGGAAAGAACATGGACACTACCAAAACTTTGAAGATCACCTCACGTCACGTGCATCAAGTGAATGTCCATAATTAATATTGTGGTGGCGCAACTACCTCATTACCCCACTAATAATGCCCCCTGCTTCCAACTGGTTAGTGTTCTGACACTAAGAGAGTCGAAGCTCTCTCCACCAAAAAAATGGTTCAATTCGACTTATTTTTTGATGACGAATATTCGATCATCCAAATTGTAAATGCTAAAAGTATGTGTAGTATGACTTGTCAAAACAATTTTTTAAATCATAATTGCAATTCCTTTTCTTTTTCTTTTTTTCTTTTTTATAAATAATTTACAACAAAAGCAGTTAAGTTAGAATTATGTTTAGTAAAAAACTAGATTATTACTTGCGTTTTGCTGCGAGCTGAATATAATAAGATAAGCAAAAATATTTGATATTTAACAATTAAATTATAAGTATAAAATAATTTAAATGACCTATAAGTGAATTGAGACGCTTGATATAGCAAATATTTACTATTTGTTGGTTTAATATATTCAAAATTTTACATCTTTATTTATGAGGTTATTATATGCGAATGTAACTTACTAACTTATCTATTATTTGATGGTTATCTACTATTTGGTGGTTTAATATATTCAAAATTTTACATCATTGTCCGAGCTTGGTATCTCGCATACGTAACTTACTAACTTAGCATATACATACTAAATTTGCTAATTGAGTTTTTCTCACTTCGTTTGATACTAAAATTGATCATTTAAGGTGCTGTTTGGTAATCGGGAATAAAGTGATGGGAATGAGAATGTAAGATTTATTTTCACATTATAACTGTTTGGCTAAAAAGAATGAAGAGTGGGAATAAGAATGAAGAGTGAGAATGAGAATGAAAATTTACACATAACTTCATTCCAATATAAGATGTCGGAATAAAAAACAAGGAATGGAAATGAATTTTTTTAAATAATAATATAATTTATTTATTTATTATCTATTAACTAATTTTACTACCATTACAACCATAACCACCACCGCAACCATCACAACCACCACCACCACCATAACCATCACAACCACCACCACCATCATCATTATGATCACAACTATCACCACTATCACCATCAATACCATTACCACCACCACCACCACCACTGCTACCACAATCACTACCGCCGCCACCACCACCACTAGAACCACGACCGTCATGATCGCAATCACCATCATCACCTTTATTATTTCTATAACTATTATATTTTAATTATTATTTTTATATGTATAAAAAATTAAATATTAAAAAATTTAAATTGCATTATAATTCCTCATTAGTATTTCATACACGGTATAAAAATACAAATACCATTCGATTCCCGCATTCTTATTCTCATCACTCTATTCCTAATTACGAAACAACATTTAAATAATTTATCTCGGTTCTAATAAATTCAAGCTATTTAATTGCTGATTTTTTAGTTCAAATTTAATTTTGCCACCAATAGTATAATTTTTTATAATTACATTACATATATTATTCATAAAGCATACTTTCATACTAATAAATTTTTACAATTACATTATAAGAGAAATAATGCAAACAATTACAATGATTGAACAACGAGATGTATAAATAGTAAACAATTGCAGAGAATAGAAAAACAACACTAATCATAATACTCAATACTCATAACTTAACATTTATCCACTAACATTCAACTAAAAAAACAAAAATAGAAAAAAAAATAAAACAAATGACTTTGCTTCTAATAAGAGAGTGCGGCTACCGGAGTTGGTTTTGAGGTGTGTGATCCATAGTTTAGCAGCTTCTTGATGTTGTTTTTATTAGTATAGATACTCAAGTTAAAGAAATCTTTTCAATTCAAAAGCTCTTGTCTAAGATTTTGATCAACCCCTCACTCAATTTTTCATTAAAAAATGATTCCAAAGATTCAACCTTTATGTTTCGAGATGTGTTTGATTTTGTTTTGATACAACTTTTTGGTGGTAGGTAATGGGATAGCAATAGCCTAATAGTACATTGGTATAAGGGGTCGTGGGCATGGTTAAAAAAAGTGTTCTATTTAGCAAGCCCTTAGTTTGGGCTATTTTCTCTATTGATTAGGTATTGATTTCTTTATTTTCTTTTATAATTACGATACATATATTATTCATAAATCATACTTCCATACTAATAAATTTTTACAATTACATTATAACGTAAATAATACAAACAATTGCAATAATTGAATAGCAAGATGTAGAACTAGTAAACAATTACAAAGAATACAAAAACAACATTAATCATAATACTCATTACCCATAACTTAACATCGATCCAAGTAACATTCAACTAAAAATAGGAAAATAGAAAAAAAATCAATTAACATTAATCATAGCAATATTTTTTTCAAAGAAAAATCCAAACAAACTCTTCCCTACAACCATCTCCATCAACAATTTTTTTCATCACGTGTACTACCAAAAGCTACAAATGTAAATCATAAGTTATTTGAAAAAAATCAATATAATAAAATATTTTGAGGTCTTAAAATAACTAATAGCATGTATTGATTAAATAGTGTAACATTTACAAGCAATCTAAAAAACATGTCTCAACAAAACCTTCACCATCTCCAACCTCTATATTCGTTAGCATTCAACATAAACTTCATTAAAATATACCTCTCATTCTAAAACCTACAAAAATATATTTATTAAGTTGTAAAAAAACATGAAACCAAAAATCAACTTTGCGTACGTAATGAATTTTATATATCCAAGGACTTGACGCATGCCTTTATTCAATAGTTTAAAATTTATGGAAAACGAATTGTATTCGTGATATGTTATCAATGTCAACAAATACTATTAAAAGAAAAATCATTTTCAATGTAGTTAATGAACACATAATATAATTCTCTATGTATAGTTTATTATCTAAAACTTTTATTAATAACAATTCTAAAACCACCCTTTAAACAAAATACTCATATTAATCGTAAAAGATTGATTGAATTTACTAATTTGTAATTAGATTATAAAACTAATTATGATAAGATTGATTGAAAGCTAACGTAACAAAGATTTAACTTTAAAGAAAAAAATATGAATGACACCAAAAGTTTCAAAAACACGTAATAGATGAACACACAAACACAATTATATTAAGGCTAGGTCCAATGTAATGGGTTTATAAAAGCTTTCTCCATATCGTTATTAAACTATTCAAAATTGTAGTTGCCAGTTTCATTGCATAAAATTGATCATTCTATCATTTAGCAACACTTTCTAAAATGCTTTAATAGAAAAATAAAGCTGAAGTTTTTATTCACATAGAACATCATAATTCCTATGAAAAAATTGCAAAATTAACATTCTCTATTGAAAAATAAACCTAGAGTTTTTGAATCGTTTGTTGAGTTTTACCTTATTTCATTCAAGTAACACATGCAAACAAATGATAGAAAAAAATTTAATAAGACACACACCACAACGCCAACTCTCGCTTAATAAATTTCGAAATCAAATTTTCACTCAATTCAATTCAAAAGCCTTTCAATTACCAATTACCAATATATGTAAACAAATTTAAAAACATAAAAAATATTTAAACTTGCTAACAACCACGTAAGGAAAATATAGTGGAAATATTTAATAAATAATGTAAAAAATTACAAATGTTAATCTTAATGGTTGA